TTATGCTGTAGACTAGGGTTTCCACAATGGAGATACTGGGGAGTGGTCTCATTAAAGCTGTATTGTGTGGGAAGAATCGGGAGAATTTGAAATGAATTACATGGATAATACAAGAGAAAAGAGCAATCATGCATAATGTCTGGGTTTTTAACTTAGGTGACAGGGTGATTTACCAGGGGGTTTGGTAGGAACCAAAAATTATGTGGAGGACACAATCAGTTAATTCTTGACTTGGCTATGTTACGTTTGACATACCTGCTAGGTATCCACAAGGAGAAGGTGAATAAGAAGTTGTTAGTTATAAAATGTTGAGGATCAGTATTATTTACGTAGTATTTGAAGCCACAGGATATCCAGGGAAAGTGGAACTGTTGTATTTAAGAAAAAGAACATTTCTTTTCCTTTTTTGCTCAAAAAAGGGCATTATTTTTGCTCCCATGCCTGGGTCAGGTCATGCATATATACCTTTTCCAAAGGTTTACCACATTTTTTTTGCTTTCTAGAAACATGATAACTGACAATAATTCACACTGAAAACATGAGGCACAAACCTGATATTTGTTGTGACCTTCCAGAATGAGCCTTTTATTTATTGTATTCTCCTGTAAATTGAGTCCAATCACTTCTACATTCTCCTAGCACTCCATGTTTTCCTTTGCAGTACTTGCTACAATTTTAGTGGCTGAGTACAAGACTTAACGAAAAAATCCTTCTTTATATATAGAATTCTGTATACCTTTATGCCCCTTTTTTTATACTAGAACATTTAGTAATTCAGCAAGAATATAGAGGTAATAGACTCTCATGGTTTGTGTTTATCTGAAAATACTTGTTATGTCAGAAAATATTTTGTCTTCACTCTTGAATCACAGTTTACAGGACATTTGAAAATGTGCCTAGTATATTGAAGATGTTAGTCCACTGTATTCTAATATCTATTGTTGATGAAAAGTCTGTCAATGTTGCCACCCCGTAGGGATTCTTTCTTTGGTCTTCAGTAGCTTTTATAATACCTTCCTGATCACTGATGTTCTGAATTTCATTCAAACCTAGGTAGGTGTGACTTGTTTGTCTGATTCCAGACTAGGTGACCTTTATTCAGCTTCAGGACCCATGTAAAGTGAGGGTTATTCAATTTGGTTAAATGTCAGTCATTTATATGAAGTATTGTCCATTTCCCAGGCTCTCTACTTTTTTCAATCTGGAACTCTTTTCAGGCACACATTTGAGCTCTTGATTCCATTCTAAGCATCTACCAGTATTTTCAGCAAAGCAAAACTATCTTCAGCATCATTCAATTAATACATTCAATTTTCTTCTCTAATGAATCCACTATTTAAAAAGTTGTTTTGGTTATTATTTTAATAATTATGTTTTAATCTCTGAAATTGTTATTTTTTCAAATATTCCTGTTTCCCATGCAAAATGGCTTGTTTTTATTGTAGGAATTCCATTCTATCCGTTTAAAAAATACTTTTAAACATTAAAAAAATTCAACAATTACTTTAAAAAAATTAAACACTTATTTTTTAAAAATTTTTGAGAGAGAAAGAGAACACTCAAGTGGGCGAGACGGGCAGAGGGAAAGAGGGAGTGAAGCCTAAAAAAGCTCCATGCTCAGCATAGAGCCCAATGTGGGGATCAATCCCATGATTCTGGGATCATGACCTGAGCTGAAATCAAGAGTCAGGTGCTCCACCAACGTGAACCATGCAGGCTTTCCTTAAACATTCAGTTTAATGTCCTTACTGATTGTTCTCTTATCTCTAAATTCTTCAGATGTGCATTCTTTTATTTTTTGGCATCTGTTAACTTAATTCATGAAAATAATTTTTTCATAACCATTGTAGTTTTTGTTGGTGACATTTTGCTTAGGATTTCCTTTAAGACCTGGATTGTGGTGGTACTTTGTGCAATTTTTTGGCTGCATGTTCTTGATGTCCAGGAGATTAACTTTCAAATGCTACAATTATGCCTAATAAAAACTACACATAATTTTCTATTAGGAAATTTTCAAACCTTTGGTTTTTTTCTTATCTCTCTCTACTTTTCTACAGGAGATAGGAATTTAGATAGAGCACTATGGCCATGCTTATGGGGAATTATGCCTTCATGCATAGAATCACCACCTTTGTATGGAATTTCTTGCAAATACTTTGTGACTCTAGAAAAAATTGCTGGTTCATGGATTAAGGAATCTATTTTGTAACCTACACTGAACAAAATATATCTATCTGTTGCTAATAATATTATAAATCTATGGTATGGACTATAAATATAAAAAAAATAAAAATAATGCCCCTTTTTCAGTATTAACTTCTATATAGAAAGAAGAAGAAAGAAAATTTTAAGCCATTGAGCCCTTATAATACAGCAGGCATTTTACAAATACCACCATATTTCATTATCACAAAAGTACACATTCCCATTGTACAGATGTGGGTAATCAGGCAGAGAGATATTTACCTATGAGCATACAGCTAGCAGACAGTAAGTGGGATTCATATTCTGGGCTGTTCACCCCAAAAGGGGTCTTTTTACTAGAGCACACAGATGTTATGAAACACTGTATGGAGAAATTCCTTGCGTTCAGATTACAATCATTTCTCGGTCTTCACAGAGCAGCCAGGCCCACAAAACAACAGGATGCACATTAGAAATCTCTTCTATTCCTAACCAGGACCAGGGACTCAACCTCATGAATACTTGGATTCCTTTCAATCTGTTTTCCCTTCTCTATGGTCTCTAGGATTGTCCCAATGACCGTCATCTGGAGACATTTGATACTCTGCTTTGGTCTACACTCCTGTCTGGCCCAGGACTGCCTCAAGGCTCCGTCAAAGTTTTAGGCCTTGTCTAAGCTTTATTATCGCCATATGTAGCTCTGACATGGACATATTCCCTGAAGTGCACAAACTGTACACTGCTTAGTCCATTTTTAAGCCTTTATCTCTGAAATACGAAAAATATACTTCTCATTTTAAACACAGCTCTCAAATGTTAGGCACTGTATAGTATCACCTACAATCTTGAGATACTCCTAAGATATGAAAGACTAAATGAAAATTAAGTCTAGAATTCACATCTAGAGTGAACAGAAAGTGACATTTGGGAGAATGAAAGATGAGGGCAAGAGAAAAAGAACCAGGGGGAGGTAAAGAATATTGAAGTTATGACTACCTATACAGCATTAGGGCCATTGTAGGATTATTCCAAAAATAACTTTTGGTTAAGCTGTTCACTCATGGCTAATCTCAAATGGCCTCAGTGTATAATTGGGAAAGGTGACTCTAACTAGGTTGTGGACATGTGAAATCGGTGTTTCGATATGTATGAGTAATCACTGGAATGAAAAGATACATCTTGGATCTCTGTCTCCCTCTCTATCACATTTTAGGCCTAATTAAAATTCAAAGCCAAATATAACTGTAATATTAAATTGATTGTTCTTCATATCTATTGTTATTGCTTCGTTATCACAGAAAACCAGAGTTCATGTAAAAATATTTTGCCCTCCCAGGCACCTTCAGGATTTTGGATCTCTCGGGTATAAAATAAAGAAGAAACAGTTTATGAACAAAATATATCTTAGCATTTTACTATGAGTTTTAAAATGTTACACTGGTTCACATGTCCTTACTTGATTTTACCAACCACCATTATGTTTTACAAATAGATGTTGAGAGTCCTTTTATGTATAAGGACATAATGACATTTTGAGTGGGTGGTTTGTGGAGATTTTTGACCTTGTGTCTAACTATAAAATGTTAATAACTTACCTGGACCTGGTTGTAAAAAAAAAAACTAATCCCACATATATGATTTGTCAAGGTATGGGAAAATTGGAATGGAGAAATTAGTTAGTAGTCAGATAAATCAAAGCAAGGGACTTGTCCCTGAATGATCTATTAAATTGAAAGAAAATATTTTACTTGAATTTTCTTTATGGTTGCCTTAATCTTTCAATTCATTTTGTATCCACAGACACAGGCTTTCTGTTAGTGTAAGCTTCAGTGATTTATGACATATTATGTTCATAACATCTAATAGGAAGGATAATAGGCTGAAATGTGCAATCAGCTGGAATTGGACTTCAAGTGCAATATAGTCGCAATATATTATATTACTTCTTCCAATTTCTCAGAATATTCAGTGGCTATTAAATCTTAGGGAACTGGGTTTCATCAAAAGCAGTGTATTCATGGATTTTTCTAACGTGTAAATAGAAGTAACAATAATATGCAATATATTTTCCCTTGATTAATAAGCAGTATTAGCAAAATTGTACGCTTATAAAATAAAGTTATGTTGTCTAAGGCATATTTATAAAATACCCCAAATTAAATGGAATCAAACATACCACATAAGAAATCCCCAAAACTGTCTCATCTGAAGGTTGAATCCAATGAAATTGTCATTTACATGGGTCAAAATTGATGGAATATCTGTGGGTTTCATGTGATTCAACCCAACCTAATATTGAATCCTTATTTCCCAGACTTTGACACACTTGTCGTGTGAGGAGCATTATTTTTGCAAAATTACAGAGCAGTAACCATTCCTCTTCACTTTATGATATCTCAGAATAGGCACAAAAACATATTTGTTAGAAAATCCTATGGCTTTTACCTTATTACAGAAAAAGGAGATAAGAAGACCAAGCTTATGATTATGAATTGCCTTTTTAAAGAGAAAATCACAAAATTTCCATTCAGTTGTTTAAAAGAACAGTTGTTCCTTTTCCCTTTGGCTTGTAATATTTCAGTAGTCACAATATTTGATACTATCCAGTCTGCTATCAGTTATAAACCATCTTATTAGGCAGCCAGTTCTAAAAAGCCTTTTAACCCATTAAGTAGCTAAGCCTGATACAAGGACTAAACTACTATCCTGGAGTCAGTGACGTAAGATTCTTATGCAAGTTGACTTAAGAAGCTGGTTCACAAAAGATTTATTTTTTACCATGTATACATTAAGAAAGTAAAATTAGCATGGGATGGTCTCAGGAAAGCAATACATATTTTTGGATTAGACACTGAAATAAAGTAAATGTATGATCAATTGACAAATTCACATTGCCAATGTTATGAAAAAAATGATGTGGCAAAACAAATTAAGATGTAGTTTTCATTTTTGATAAAGGGGTGGTTTCCTACATGCTGTTAATTTCTTGCGTTTTTACTCTGAAAACTTAACCACTAGCATTGCAGAAGCCCAAAGTGAGGGCAAACTACTCACTTTCAGAATGCATATGAGAAGTTTGAAATTGCACCCAGGTTGTCTTTTCCTGTTAGTTGGCCTCTGCTATTAGAGTAGTAGTTGCAAACACATATGTGGGTTTGCCAGTAACAACTCACAATTTGTGCAAAGTTGAGTCTTCGAAACTGAGCAAATTTGCTCTCAATTTCCCGCCAGCGCTTGCTGAGCTGGATCTGAGTTGGCTCCACTGCCATTGCGGCCCCATCCTCAGACAAGCCCTCAGCTTGCCTACGCACTGCATTCATCTCCTCTTTCTTCTTCTGCAATTCACGATCAATTTCCTATTGAGCAAAACCAATACAGGGCCCAGGGCAGTTAGCTAACCACATCAACCAACCTGCAAGCAGCACATACTTCTCTCAGAAATTTCATAGGCTGTTGTCACTTTATTGTCATTTTCTGTAATTTACAAATATGGAAGCTATCATGGTCATCTTCACCCAAGAATCCAAATGGTATTTCAGTTATCCTTTGAATGCTCAGTTTTAGATATTCTCACTAAGAAAATATTTAAAATGATCTAACATTTTTCTTTCTTCTCAAATCCTCTGGTGTTTTGCCGGGGGGGTGGGGTGACCCAAATTGGAGTGACTAGACATACTGATTAGGGACCATCCACATAGAAAATAATTTAGAGGGTCAGTGGCAATTTATTTCTTTTTAAAGTTTTGAGGAACTCAACAGAGAATGAAGCAAAATAAAAAGTGTAAAATAATAACAGAAAAAAACATCTTCAGACAATATGCAAATAAATGTATAGAGATTTGACACTGATGTGTGAAAGATGCTCTGATGGAATGAATGTGCTAACATGAGAAAGTAGTCGTCCATATACCGATATGTCATTTGTTCATCTGGAACAAAGATACACAGAGTCAATTACAATTTTACCAGAAAACATACGACATTTCTTAATTCATTTTACATTGTCTAAAAATAAAACATTTTATCATTCAACATTAGTTCAATTGAAAAACACTTAATACAATACATTTACTAAAACAACACACAATACAAGGAAATGTAGCAAATCAGAGAGAATGCTAAAAGAGGAAACATCAACAATTTTAAACATGATCCACACATGTTAAGGTAAAGAAATTAAACTGTAGCAATAACATCTAGTATTGACATTCTAAAACAACATTACCTTTATTTTCCTTTCATCTCTGGGTTCAGGTAGGCTGGCTAATTTTTTTTCAATGTCATCCAAGCATTTCAGGAGATCATCAGCCTGCCTCTTGTATTGATACCATTGGTGAGAAATTTCTAGAGCCTTTTTTCTTCTTTGAGACCTCAAATCCTGTTCATGGTGCAGATATTATTAAAATATCAATATATATATAGAGTACACTTCTGGCTGTAGTTATTTAAAAATAATGAATCCCTCATCTTGTACAGCTTCACTTAAATTCACATTTAAATGCTAAACATACAAATAGATGATTAAATTATGTATTCATGGCAGGACCTACTAACACAAAGCTTAGAAAACTGGACAACCCACTTAAAGTATGTTCTCCTGGCATGTTCAAATTTGTTTAGAAATCTCATATTTAATTGACTAAATGAGTCAACTACATTATCATATAGTCTATGTGAACTAGTTTAGTATATGAATACAAATGAATTAACTAGATATTTGCACACATTTAATGAGTTTACATTTGACTTTTAAAATAGGTAACAAAATCTAAAATTTAGATCTTCAGCCCTGGGTTCATCAATAAAATTTTAAGTTTCCAGAGCAAAGCAACTACATTCACAGGCTTAGAAATCCCTGTAAAAAAAGTTTCATAGGCCATGAATATTTTGTGATTAGAAATATAAAATCATCTTAGTTATCATATAAAGTGTTTTGAGCTCTCCCTCTATATATAGAGAGTGAAGTGTGAAAGATATATCTGTGAGTGTACATGGAAATGACAACTATTATAAAAATGCTTTCTCTTTTGAGGCTTGCATGGCCAACTTCTTTTTATTATATCAAATCATGCTCCAAATGCAAAATGATGAATTAGTTAAAAAAGAAGAAGGAAAGTGCATGGCTTCCAATCAACCAGATGAGATAAATAAGGGCAACTGCTTAATAAATCAACAAAGGGGGGAAATTAATCATCTTGCTCCTTACAAGCTCACCCAATGTCTTCCCCGATCAATAGAATTTGTTGTAATGCCATTTTATGATAACACAAGGGAACATAAGAGCTCAGAATCCAGCTTTCATTTCTTTAGAACAGTAGTAATTAGGGGTTCCTGTACAGATTTAACTGGAGCAAAAGAAAATAATGAATATCAAAGAACTGCTGAAATATTCATTGCTTTGGAAAGTTCTGACCTTCTTTGAAGTATTTTATAAGGACTAGAACTGAAGCCACTTGGAAGGTTAATATAGTTACTGAATTTGGTGGTGTAGATTAGTCTGGCCAGTGGAATACATTTTCAAAACCACTTTTAATATTTATTTGCAAGAATGATCTAAATTTCATTCTCCATTTGGCTTAAAACTGAGGATGTAAAATTTACAGCAGTTTATATTTTTAGTTGAATTTCTAAACCTCCTGTGGAGGTAATAAATGCCTGGGATGAGCCAGATGGAATGCTGCTTTTTTCAAAGGTACCAAGATACAGCCACACGAATGAGAGCTGAGCCATGTCTTGTTCGTGATACGACTCAAATCTTTGCCAAGAGAAAGGGATGGTGGTCATAAAATCTGAAACTCCTTTCATTTCCTAAGCACAAGGTGATGTGTAATGTGTAAAGATATTTAGAGACATTATATAGATTTCTTTAGAGATATGCCGGATAACCATTAAACACTGCTGTTCGGTAGGACACATATCATCATATGACCAGTGTAGATGCTTCTGAAAGCTTGGTCACAGTTGGAAGTGTGTGAATTATACAGCTTTCTGATTTTCTGAGCACATTATGGCTTGCTCTTGCACTCCCTCAAGGAAGAGGCCTTTTCTATTTACTATATTTATCAGCAGTTACCTTCAGAACACCTGCTGGCCAATTAGACTTTCCTTGTGGATTCCTTGCAGGCACAATATTGTGTAATTACATTCTCAGCAGTGTTTATTTGGTTGTCTGACTATATGGGGAAAGGTTTTAAACTCTTACTTGCATAGAGAAAGCAGACTTCATCCACCTACTAGGTGGAACTACCCACATAGCTACATAGCTCTAGAAGAGTGATTTACAATGAGAAGCTTGGCAATTAACAGTATTAGAAAATCAGCCATGCACGCCAATAGGGAATATTGAAAAGCACGTTAAAAAAACAAAAGATTTTTCAACAAAACTCTTCACATGTCCAGTTTCAGGTCAAGAACTTCCTAAATACTATCATAGGAAAAACCAACCCTATTCTGCCCTTCCTGTGCAAATCCAGATGAATCACATGGGGGCTTGAAGCTCTACACTACCGCTGGTTAATATGAGCGTGCCAGGTTTTCTTCAAAGACATTAAGATTATTTTTGAGGATTCCTATATGAATGAAATTAGACTCTGTAGATGCTTAGTCAGTTGCCAAGAGTGAGTCTCTTAAAGGCAAAATGAAGTTAATTGAAAAAAAAATTAAGTAGAATCCCAAACCTTACTAAACAAATATTAGGTTACCAAAAGACTAACCTACTTTAAGTAAAATCAGTAAAATATAGGAAGCAGAAAAACTGAAAAATATAAATTGGTTATTTGTGAAGTTAAGCAGGTTTTTCAAGACAAATGTAAAAATAATATAAAAATAAACTGTATTAGAAAATCAAATGTATAAACACTGCGACTGATGCATTTTACTATTTTTCAATCACTACCCAGAAAATCTGTCTAGGCCATAAAACTGCAAATTTTTAAGTAACACACCTTTCAAAATCAAAGACACCACTCAAAAATGTTAAATAAAGCACACACACTGAAACAGGAAAAAATTTATCTCTGGGGACTAAGAATCTTAAGCAGATTTTATTGATGCACAATATAGTTTACCCTGCATATGAAAAAAAAACCACAGGCAAGGTATATTATAATTTTAGCTCTAATACCTTGAGAGCATTATGTTTTGTCTGTAACAGCTGCTGTTTTATCTTTATTTCCTCTCGCTTTCTCTCATCTGTGATTCTTTGTTGTAAGTTGTCTCCTCTTTGCAACAATTCTTTTACAGTACCCTCATTGTCTTCACTCTGATTAAAAACAACAAGTACAGTCTTCATTTTGGTTTTTAAAAAGCTGTACAGCGTTAACAGAGATAATAAGACATGTTACTGAAATACACACAAAAAAAATCCAATTGCAAACTTTCGGGGACTGTTATTCTAAGATACTGTGCTCATAGTTTTTTTCCTTTACCTGGTTTACTGCATCTCTTAAAAGGAGGAAGTTTCCTCCCATCTAGCTCAAAAGAACACACTTGACTGGGGGCATGTGTAGGAAGATCAGGTTGAAAGTTACTTCATCGTTTCAGACAAGTCATCAATTGGTGTGAAGGCATTCTTGTGGTTTTGATTTTTTAGTGTGTGTCTAGAAATTAAACAGTTTGGAGGAGTGAACTAAACTTGTCATTTATAATACTAACCAGCCGATGCAGAAATATGGATGTGGACATGTGAGTGTGAGATGGCAATGATTCTTAAAATTTTAACACACTCACTTCTAAGTGAACACGTTTTGTCTTAAATGCACACTAATGTCTACCTAGCCGTCTGTTTTAATTAATCTATATGTCCAAATTTCTGAAAACTTAAGAGTAGTAGTAAAAAATTCTGTGCTAAATTTCTGTCAATATTGCAAATAATTACTAAAAATATTTCATAAATGTATATTTTTTTAAAAATACAATCAGATAAGAATTAAAAAAGTTAAGGAAATTATTTAAATATTTTTCAAAATGCATTTAGTTTTTTAAACTCCAAGAATAATATTTTCATTTTGTTTACTTTGAAATAAAATTGTTTGAATAAATGCCAGTTTAATACGGTAGCATATGTGACCATGTGGTTTTTCATCTCTGGTTTCCTATCTTTCTTTGAACTCAGTATATGAAAACTTTCTTTCGAGGAGGTTCACCTTGCAGTGGCACACAAGGTACTCTGATGAGCTAAGAATAACAAATATTAGAAAATTTTTTAAAAAGTCACGAGTATGTGTACTTGTGTGTAATCATTCAGAGTACTCAGATGTACCTATATACATCTGCAATGCAGATTTAAACTACTATACATAACTGAAGAATTATTTTTTCAGAGGACCATAATTTTATCTGAGATTTGTCAGTTACTAGTTTAACAAAATAATATAATAGAGAGATGTATTTATAATTTGTGGAAGACCATCCTTATTTTAAAAAGTCTGCATCACTGCCTAAGGCCGAGGACAAAAAACCAAAAAAACAAAACAAACAAACAAACAAAAAACCACCCCGCTTCATTTCTTTCCCCACACCAGGTGAGGGCTATAGATAGGGCAGATTTCGTGAGCAGCCCAAGAGGTAAGCAATACTCTTTTTCACTTCGGGCCCTTGGGTTTCTTCTTTGACATGAAGGAGAGGTAGTTGTGACTCAGTATCTTGGAAAGTCTCTTCTTGACTTTCTTTCCATGAGCTGAACTGGCAAGGCCACCAAACCCCATACATGGGGAGTATGGACTGTTTCAGGCAGCTCCAGAGAGTCAGAAGTGATACTAGCGAGAACTAAGATAAGTGGAAATAGATTTCCTATTGCTTCCCACACCTACAATCTAAAATTTATATATTGCCTTTTAATGTCATTTTAAAGCATGGCTGAGAAGTCCCTAGCATTGATATGTGTCTGAGAAACCTCGAGCATGATATATGTAAAGCTTAAGAATGCCACACTGGTGATGGCTGTGGAAGAGGGAATAGGAAATTGTGAAAAGGATGTGGAAGGAGAAATAAGTCAGTGAAAAGGGATGTGATGCAGAACTATTCAAGCCAGAGAGAAATGTAACACAGATTTTGAAATTAATCAGGGTTGAAGGAGAATGTTATGAGTTTGGGAATAGCCCACATGGTTCTATTCCTTTACTCCCATGAAATAAGCAGCATGAACTCATACATATTTTAGACATCTACTGTACTATTTAATTGACTTTTTTCAAAACTACTTTGTCATAAACTTTAGTAACTATTTTTTATATGGTGTCTAATACGTCTTCTCTGACATAAACAATTAAATTACCAAAATCATGAATGACACAAAACATCAACCATCTTCAATGGCTGAGTTTCTTATTAAATTTCCAGTTAATTTCTGATTTAACTCTTTTTCCCCCATTGCATTCTGTCCTCTAACTTTGAAGGTAGCACAGGTCAAAGCAAAACTGCTGAACTGTTTATTAGAATCTGCAAGTGCTCCTATGTGGCCATACCATAGTAATTTGGCATTCATAATAAACGTTCAACAAGAATAGTTTGCATTTGTAATAAATCATTAGAATCACAAAATGTGCAAGGTATGCACTGAGAATTGAGTTGGAGACTCAAGTTATCTAATTTCTTTCCAAATATTTATTCATTTTCACTCCTAGTTCATTCACACTTTTATCACAACCAATTTACCATATCTTTATTGAAGTCTTCCTCTTTCAGATTCACCCCCTGCTGAATTTCAGCCTCCAGTGGTTCAAGCAATTTTTGTATATCTGAGTTAAACTGCTCCAATTCCTTCAAAGGAATGGAGGCCTAAAAAAAAAGATAGTGCTAATTTAAATCAAAATTACTTTTTATTAGAAACATAAACCCAAAAAATTACATTTGTTCAACCTCCTGTTGCTAAAATAATGACATGCATTATGTTTCCACATTATATTTCATGAAAGCTTTGAAATACAACTGGGAAAGTACCTGCGGACACAAATAAAGGCAAACATGTAACATCATCAGCGCTCAACATACATGCAAGATAATGCAATTCATCATTTCGTTTTACCAACAAAAGCCAATTTCCATAGAGTCGATTGAGCTAATTATTAATATTCTAAAGATGAATTTCATCTTACTTAAAATACTCTGATAGAAATACTATTTGTGGATGTCTTATCAGAAATTTGCCTCATTGATCAAGTAACAGTAACCTCAGGTAGAAATGCAGAATTAACTCTTTATCCTCAGACAACTACACGGCAATCTGTCCCAATATTTTAAACGACATTTTTAGCATGGAAGATATGACAGGCACGCTCTCATAAGACAAACAATACCATGAGCTTGCCTTAAGAACACTTTCTTTGGTGGTACACACACAAAAATTCAAATGTATGAACCCAGAACACTTCACATAAAAATGTGGATATATATTTTCCAACCTTACAAACATCACAGTTTCTTCGATTCTGAAATTCATAATGAGCATAGTCTCAAGGAGCTTTAAAACCTGTTTTCTAAGGAAACCACTTCAAGAGTGATGAATAAAAATACACTGAAAATCAAATATATATTCAAAAGAGTAGGCAAGATTTAATTATCAAAGTTCAAACAGTTAAGAAAATATGTATTCTCTTGATCTTTTCCCTGTATTCAATTTCTTTGCAGTAACACACTAAGACATTTGTTATACCTCACAGCTTATGAAAATTCACAGATAACAGAAAACTCTTATTTTCTTACAGAGCCAACCATTATCCAACTTGTAAAACGAATTCAGGATCGAGCCTCAGTGTCTTAAGCCAGGATGCCTATATGCATCAACTGTGGTCCCCACCTACTGTTCCCCATCACATTACCAGCTATAGTCTTACTCTTTATTAAATGGCATCTCCTAGAGGACAATAAAGATAAGTGTGCAAGGAAAAACCAAGTATCTAAAGGTATTCAGTTATTAACGAAGAAGTGAGTAATCAATTGCCATTCACCAGAACATTAGCATGTCACACACAACATGAGTATACACTTATCTTCTGGGCACTTTTACATACACCAGAAAGGATTTATGGGCTCCTTTTAAAAGTGACTCATTTTCAATATTATTTTTCAATCCTAATGAACATTCACAATCTGAAATGTCAGAAGAGGTTCCTGAATCAGTACAGAATGATAGTATCATAAACATGCTTAAGGGATGTTTCCATCTCTGTATGACCAACATATGTCTACACTTTAAAAACATATTGCTCAAGGTGTTGTAAAAGCAAAAAAACAAACAAAACAACAACAACAACAAAACAACCTTGAGAATCCTAACTACAGAATGTCAATGTGACACTGTTCTATGTTACTGAATTGTTTGCATTTGCTAATTTTTAAGTAGATCAACTTCATTGTTCTACCTAGTTTTGTGAAAATAAAATGATAGATACTATTTAAAATAACTTTTATTGAGTGCTTGGTTGTTGAAATAAAATGGGTCCACTTGCAGGCAGAAATACGTTTTACTTCTTTGTATGCTTCCTTTCTAGCACACCCTATCTCCATATAATCAAATACAGACAGTAATTTCAAAGGCTCTGAATTCAGGCTTCTATGGCTCTTTCTCAATAGTGCTTGCCTAATGCATTGTATTATCTTCTGAAATTTAACTGTAACTTTCATAATATCTCCCAAATATTCATCTTCAGCTGCTACTTCACTTTTGAATTTTAATACAGACTCTCCTAGAGCCAGGTTATACCTCGCTCAAAGTTCAACATAATTAGAAAGAAGCTCATTATCTTTCCCCCAAGCTGCGTGCAACACCAAGTTCCCTAGTTCTATAAATAGAAGATCACTTTTGTCAGTCATCCAAGCTTAAAATGTGAGTCATGTTAGTTTTCAACACTTGACTCTGGTAAAATCACTGTGAATTCATTCACCATGATCCACTTGCTTTCTATTCCCAGAGAAACCATATCTCCCAAAGGCAACAACCCCCTTGTAGGGGTTTAATTTCCTTCTCATGTCACCAGTTCCATCCTGTGCACTGTGCTCAGGTCAGTATGCACCACAAACATGGCTTTCATTAAGCTGTTTCTCTATTCAAAAAGTACAAGTAGAATAAAGCCCAAACTCCATCGTGATAGTCTAGGCTTTCCCCTAACATTGCCCTAAAGATCTTTCTAGCCTTATTTAAGTGTTCCTAGTATCAACCTTTCTTACAAGCCTATTGGTGAACTCTGTGTACTACCCTTCACCTTGGCCCTTAGACTGTTTTTTTATCTTCTGATGAAGAGCCTAAGCTCCTAAATAAGAACACCTAGACTGAATTGAGATTCCACCATTTAGGAGCTAGGGGATCTTGGACAAGTTGTCATCTTTGAGTCCAGTTTCTTTATTGTAACATGAAGATAAGAAGAATATCTATCTTAGAGGGCTGTTTTGAGAATCAAATATATTAGAATGTTATCTGAGATATAATTAATGTTCAACTAATATGGGTTACTATTTTCTCCCTAAATCCTCTGTATCCATATGACAGATGATAAATGCTCGATAAATATGGACTCTTAATGCTGTCTCTCAAAACTTTACCCATCCATGACTTGCTTACAAATATTATTTTGAGATCATATGGTTTATGAAGAATAAAGTAAATGTTTGTTGTAATAGTACTTCTCCTTTGTCAAGGTATTTGACATAGTCATTAAATTCTAAAGGTGAACATGGAGAAATTGAAACTCAGTTTGGTAATGTTGTACTATTTTGAACAAAACTTGCTGATTAATTACTCTAACAATGCAGAAGGCAATTTCAAGGAGGATGCCAAAGGGCTTTGTGTTTGTTCTGCCTTGTGCAGTATTTTCACCAGCAAGTGTTTGGAAACATAAAAAGCATGCAAAAAAAAAAAAAAAAAAAAACAAAACAAAACAAAAAAAAAGAGGAAAAGAGAGGAATGAATTCCATGAACATCCCATGAAGATAAGGGATTTGTTGTCTTGTTCAACCTGGAGTCACTCCTTGTACATAGCTGGCACCCACAAGTGAGTTATTTCCTGAAAAACTAAGTAAATGAAGGACTAATCATGGGATGGCAGAATCAACATTTCAAGGAGCTCTTGAATGATCTAGGATTTTAAATAACACCATTTCTATTGCATAAAATCTAAAAGGACCTGATTGGCCAAATATTATCAACAATGATTTCACCAAGTACAAAAATACTATAAGCAGATATAAATAGCTTTTAGAAACACTACAATAACATGATAATTAATCAAGCAACAAAATGCAAACTTAGATTTTTATTAGTAGTAAATGTGGGGTCCAGACTTCCTGATCAAAGATTTCCTTACATTTGTTAAAAAGGTCATTATAGAGATTAGGGATTTGAATTATTCTGTGTGGCTCCAAAGTGAGTCACTTATATCAATGGGTAAAAGTTACTTGGCACCTGAATTTTAGCTTAATGTAGGAACAGCTGATGAGTGCTATGTTTTTTTTTTTCTTTTTAAAAGCATTAATTGTAAAGTAGTGTGTTTCTCTTGCTGAAAATACACAAGCAGAGGCAGGATGATGACATATTAGGGTATATGTTAGAAATAAGATACTTTACACATAAATATTTTCCTAAAATTTTATCAACTTATAGTAATTTCTCTCCTCTGAATTCAAAGGGTTTTGTTTATCTGTAGCAATACAGCTAAATAACAATAGAACACAAGTCATATATGTAATTTTAAATGTTCTAAATGCCATACTAAAAAGTAAGAACACTGAATTAATTATATTTTATTTACCTGATATATCCAAAATATTATCATATAAACCTATAATCGACTTCAATACAGAAGGTATTTTACATTCACTTTTTCATATGAAGACTTCAAAACCTACTGTGGTTTTAAACTTTCAGCACTTCTTAATTTGGAGAAGCCACATTTCAAATAATAGCCCTATGTGCTTTGTGGCTTCTTTTTTACACAGTACAGATCAATAGTAATTATTATAACCATGACTTTTGAAAAGAATGGCTCATTATTAGTTTGAAATATATCACAAGAGTAATGTCTTACTAGTGTTAGTCAAGATGCTCATGTTTTATTTAGTAAATTTTAGTGGATGTAGATAATTTTTATGATGTCCATCTCATTCACTGGCATTTAAATATGTTTTGAGAGGAATTTTGTGGACGTCTTCTGGGGGAAGGAAAATTTATGGGAATGGGTTCCACGTGTCCTATCAGGAATTCCTCTTCTACATTTCATGTGTGACCCTCCACTGTACTGCAGTATCTCTTATATATTCAATATAATGTTATTTGGCTTCCAAGAGTTAATGCTTTGTCTCACCAGCAGTTATTTAATCCCTGAAGTTTGGGATATATATGCTCTATTTTCCATAGCAAATATAGCTCCTTTTTTTGTACAGATGACGTACTTACTATATCAAAAAGTAGTTTTAGAACATCCAATATATTAACTGAATTAACCAGTGACCAATTTTATAACCAAAATAACCATAAGTACTCAATGCAATTATTTTGTCTATACTATTAGGAGGATCAGGCCAGTCATCTGACATTCGTGTGATTAACACTGTTCATTCAGATACAAGGACATGGAAAAATCTAAATGCTTCCTTAAGACTTAACTTCCCTAAGAATATGGAAGGCACTTCTCTGACCAATTAAAGTTTTACATGTCATTCCTTGGTCTTTGCTGTCTTTGCAGTTTAGAATTTGTATACAAGGTTATAAAAGAAATGCATAATAAGCAATTACCCAAAATTTAACAACTCACTCTCAGTCACCAAAGTTTAAAACATGTGAAGTA